CCCTAAACCCTAGCCCCTAAACCGTAAACCCACAGCAATTTTGCCGTGAAATTGTGAAGTCCCAAATCTGGAGCTTTGGAGCCTTAACCAGCAAAGGCCGCAGTGGTTTAGTGGTTTTGGGGTTTAGAGTTTAGGTTTTAGAGTCTAGGTTTACAGTTTAGGTTTGTGAGTTTAGGCTTTAGAGTTAAGGGTTTAGAGTTTAGGTCTTAGAGCTCAGGGTTTAGTGTTTAGGGTAAGGGAATATAACCCCTATATGAGCTATAGTCCCAATTCCTTGAAGGGGGATTATGCAGGGGAGAATATAGGGGAGTATTGTAGGGATTATGAAGGGGGATACTAGGAGTTTTCACTATAGCTCACACATTCCCATTTCCCCTACTAAGAACCAGTCATTAATACTTTGCGGGTCTAGGGTTGAGGTTCAGTCCAGGACCTTAAAGTCCCGGCTTTATTCCCAAGCCCAGCCAGGAGCATCGGTTTAGGGCTTAGGGTTTAGGGCTTAGGGCTTTAGGGTTTAGGGTGTAAGTCCTTCCCCGAAGATTTGAACCTGTATTTGTACTACATCGATTATTAGCCCGAAAAATAGGTAGAGTTTTCTATATTTATTTAAATACCCCACACATGTGTACTTTACTTCCCTTGGGTAGTTCCTTAGTCTTTAGTTCTTTGGTTTCTGGTCAATTTCAAAAGGGACCCCAAAAGACTAAGTTTGATGCATGATCACAACCACGCTTTCTTCGACCCAAACATGTGGCACCTGGATGAAGAACTCGGAAACAGGTGGAAGAACCCCACACCCAGCTCGTTCGGCGATCGGGGATCATAAGGCATTCGCCAAGTGCTTCATATTGGCCTGGCAAGAAGCGCCTGAAACCAGCAAGAAATTTCATGTTCATCTCTGCAAGAAGACGATTTCCGCTGATGGTACAATGGGACGCAAACCATACGGATTTTCCACGTGGATTTTCCATACGATCCCAGGCTGCAAGTAAACAGGATCATGCAATTTGTCGGGAGAAAAGAAAAATATCTATATACATAGATACGTACATATGTATATATGTATATATGTGTGTTCTAGCGGTACATTGGGAACAACAATTGTTGGAGGGGGGAGTACCGCAGGGATGTATAGCTTGTCTACTTCCCTCGGCCTTTCCAAAAAAAAACGTTTGCACGTGTCCCCACACAGACATGTGTTGCTAAGCAGGATGCACCCCAAGCCCTAAACCCTAAACCGGACAAACCTTGGCATAGCGTAGCCTCGCAGGCCCCCTAAACCCTCAACCCTAAACCCAGACAGGGGGAAGCATCCCATGCCATCACGCCAGCAGGGCTTGGGGGAGTTATGGTTTAAGGGTTTAGGAGGTCTAGGGCTTAGGCGTTTAGACCCACCTCCACATTTTACGTATTCCGCAAGGTATGAGGTGGCACATACTTAACATTGGTAGTAATTAGTGGGCAAAGTTTAAAGTTGAGTTTAAACGATGTTCAAGATTTGGGGCTAGTGTTTAGGGATGAACCCCTTAGAACTACAACCTGATCCACCAAAGCACCACATACGACCTGCACCGCGAAAGCGATTTCAATCCCTAACCCCACGACCTAAAGTCTAACCCCACACCCTGAAGTCTAACCCCTGGACCCTAAAACACTAAGATCCTAACTTCCTAGATCCCACTCATTCAGCCCTGAACCCCGAGGCCTCGAAACCCTAAGCCCTAAAAAACCCAACGCTTCGCCAGCTGTGTAGTAGTTTATTTGGGGACATTATGGTACCCATTCTATCCTCCTTTTGGGGTATAGTATTTTATATGAGGAATATAATCTTAGTAGGTTCAACCACCAAACCATAAACCCCTAAACCCCTAAACCCTAAACCCTAAGTCCTCAACCCAACCACCAAAAAAACGCTACTCAGCTGTGCCATCGCCACCGGCCCATTCTCGGGGTGCGAAGCCGCCAAGGCTTCGGGTCGACGTGAGTTTAGGGCTTTTCGGAAGTTTACGGTTTAGGATTTAGGGTGTAGTGTAGGGCTTAGGACTGAGGGTTTACGATTTAGGGTTTAGGATTTGGGATGTAGTGTTTAGGGTTTAGGATTTAGGGTTTAGGATTTGGCATTCAGTGTTTAGGGTTTAGGATTTAGGGTTTAGGATTTGGGATTTAGTGTTTAGGTTTCAGGGCTTAGGGCTCGCAGCTTAGGCTCTAAATAGGCTGTAGAGCTTTAGAGTTTAGGCTTTAGGGTTTTAGGCTTGAGGGCTTAGGATGTAGGCTTTGGGGTTAGTAGAGATGAAGGAATGGAAACCACCATGGACGCGACACTGCAGCTGCATGCTTTGGAGTTTAGGGTGAAGGGCAGGTTCTTTGGAGCGGCTGCGATGGGTTGTGGGGTGTAAGTTGGGTACTGCCCCGCCCCAGCAACAGTCTATATTAGGGGTCCTATTGAGGTCTATATATAACCATATTATAACTATTATCCAACTGTTACTGAGGGGGGGCAGTACCCAAGGTGTAAGTGGCCCGGAAATGGCTTGCAGTGGGTGCTTTGAAGGAGTATCACAGTGTCATTTGCTTCGACGGCTGTGTCAACGAGAACAAGTCGATTGTGCGCAATGGGCTGGGTGATGATGGCAAACTCCTGGAGTTCGTGCTCATTTTCCAGCGTCGCGTGCGAGAGGGCCGACAGCGCAAAATCTTCTGCGGCTCGCTGAAGGTGGAGACCGCCATGCTGAAGGTGGAGACCGCCATCATGAAGCTGTTTGTGCCCCGGGCTCGCTTCAGTGAACTTCAGTGTCAAGGAGCGGGACAGTCATCCCGCCGGCATTGGCCGATGGCACCGCGAAGACGGCCAAGAAAAGAGCCAGTGTCAAGGGCCACCACGCACTACTTGACCTGCATCAGTGTTTTGGGCTAGAGTCGGGCATGTTAAAGAGGGCATGCATTGTATGGCAGTGATGCCGCACTTTTGCTTCATAACATGTCACAATCAGAATTAGTATACCATCGGCATTTCCAAAAAGTACGGGTAGCGGGGTCTAGTATAGGATCTCATGAAAGGTGCCCAGAGTTCAGGGCGCTTGCAGGCAGCAGTTTACACATCAGCTGTTGAGCGTTTTGTGCTAGAGGGAGAATCGTCCAATTGGCCTGCTGTAAGGAGAATACGTAGTTGCGCTTGGTGAGGCATCGCTTCGAAATCCATTTGAGCCGGACAGATTTCAGCAAACACCTTGTTGCCTCTACGAACAGCCTCTGAGTCCAACCCGGTCTCTGCATTCTGCCCTTATATCGTGGCACCTTTCTACAGCTTTAGCACTTGATTGCTTTGAGGTTTGCCTCATTGAGGGAGCCAAATTTACCAAAAAGCCTGCCCAGACCCTAAACCCTAAAACTCTAAACCCTAAACCCCTAGAGCAACCAAGTTTGTTGCATCCCGCCCTCGACAAGAAATCAAGCCTGCTGCTTCTTCGCGCGCAATGCAGAAGCCTGAACACAAGGTTTAGGATTTATGGTTTAGGGCTTAGGGTTGGGTTTAGAGTTTTATGGTTCAGGGGTTAGGGTTCAGGATTCGTGGGGGCCAGGGTTTAGTCGTTGGCGTTCCGTGCTTTAAGGTTTAGGGTTATGTTTAAGGGTTTAGGGTTTAGGATTAAGGCTACTGGGGTTAGGGTCTAGGGTATGAAAAGTCAAAGGGACAAGAAAGCGACAAATGTTTGGAACTCGGCTTCTCTCATGGTTCATAGTGAACATGTAGCGCGGCAGCCTGAAAAGTTGCCAATATCATCCCCAGCTATGGTATACTAACCCTAGACCCTAAACCCTAAACCCTACTATACCATACTGCAAAACCGCATTGTGTCGAAATCGCTCCTTCGCCTGCGCTTTCTAAGGTTGAGCAGCCTAAAGCTGTCGCCTCTTTCCCCCAAAGCTACTCGAAGGGCAAGCAGGACTTCGGAAGTCTTAGTAAGTATACCCAGAACCTTTAGGGGTTTAGGGTTTAGGGGTCTAGGATTTAGGGTTTAACCCAGACCCATGATTAATAAACCCCCCTCCCCTTAATAGGGATTATAATAGGGATCCCAATACTGATATTAAGGCCCTTAAAAGGAGGGGGTTTATCAATTACGGGTCTACATTAAACCCCAACAGGGCTCATG